ATGTCATGATCCTCCTGCCCCAGACTTCCAGTTAGCTAGGACCATGGGGCCACCACCACAGGCTAGGCCTGTTTAGGTTGGGCCAGAAATGGAACCCATTGTCCTCTGGGACCTCTGCTACTGAGCAGCAGCACCCTCCTGCTGGGCCTCCAATGTGGTTTCTTCGGGTGTCACTTCTTTCCAATTTAGATATTGGGAGCCGAACTAAACAATCATTTAGTGAGACCTTAGACTTCCTTTCACCTCACTAGTTAAAAGCCTTACAGTAACACTCCTTAGCTCAGAGCACTCATTCCTCCTCCCCTTCCTCCCGCTCTAGAGGAAGGAGCTGTTTTTTCATCCATTATCAAGTCTCCTTAAAGCCTAGGAAGGGGGGTGTCAGGTGCCAGGAAAACTAGATGAAGCTCCTACAGATCTCCCCAAAGGCAGGTATGAATGACACAACATCTAAATTTTGTCTGATTGGTGAAAAAGGTTCTTATAAAGCCAGCCCCTGGGCTGACCTGCTGCTTGCTTTTCAACTGTGTAATGCTATTTTTCACCACTGAAGTTCAAGGTCAGTCTGGGTGATTTCAGCCTGCATGCTAGATTTGCTATCCAGTCCAATTTAAATTAATTTGGTAAGTCATTCTTCATGAGCCGTGGCATTAACCACCCTCTCCAAGCCCAAAAGTAGATCCTGTGTAGGTGTAGCCTCTACTTTGAAAAATAACAGAGTTGTGCATTCATTTCGGCAGAAGATGGAAGGCAGCAAATACTTGTTTTCAAAATAAGGTTTATTCATCATTCAAAAAAAAAAAAAAAATCCAGAACAAATTTCATATCAAGTCCATTCAAAGTATCAGAAATTTACTGTTGCTGAGTAAATGCTTATTCCCCTCTCCTCCAAATTCCCATGCTGAAATCCTTACCCCCAAGGTGGGGCTTTGGAAGTGATTAGGTCATGAGAGTAAAGCCCTCATGAGTGGGCTTAGTACCATTATAAATCTCCCTTGTCCTCTTCTCAGCACATGAGGACACAGAGAAATTGGCAGCCTGCAACTAGGAAGAGGAATCTCACCAGAAGTGACCATGCTGACGCCTTGATTTCAGACTTCCAGCTTCCAGCCAGAACTGTTTCTGCTGTGAAAAGCCAGCCAGTCTATGGTACTTTGTTACAGCAGCCAGAGTGGACTGAGACAACAGCCTCACCAACTTTTTCCTGTCCAGACTCTGTAATCACAGGTCTCGCCAGTTCAGAGATACCACTTTGCATGTCACGAATGCTAAGGTAGGAGCCTCCTAAGAACTCTCAACATCACACCCCAAAGCTTGCAGGGCCTAACAGTGTGCCTGGAAGTGCCTTGCTCTCAGGGTGACAGGCATGTGCTCATCCACTCCCAGTGCTTGTCTCCTCAGATACAGAAGTCAGACCCCGAAGGGAAGACATTTAAAAGAAGAAACCATGGGATCTAAAATGCCAATGGATTGGGTTGGTATTTTGGATGGTAAGTTACATACACTGGGGAGACAAATTCTTCCTCCTTTTTATTTTTCATATAGGGACATTCATCCCAATGAAGAAACAAGCAGGAAAATGAGCCAGGAGGAGGTGGTGATGGAGGTCCAGGGCTAGCTGTCCAGAGGTTGACAAAAATGGCTTTTTGGAGGCCAGCAGATGGCGAAATGGTCACCACATCATTGGACTTCCACATGGTCAACCACAGTTCAAGTTCCGGACCTGGCAGCTTAAAACCCATGCCAGGTGCGTGCACGTGCGTGCCCAAATTTCTGAGAGGATACTGGAGGAGAAGGGATTGTGGCATGGTCATCTTCCCTGGGGGGTGATTTCATGCTTCCTGTTTCTCTGGCGAGCGTGTGCACCCTATAACAAAATCCTCTAAATGAATGAATGAATGAATGAATGAATGAATGAAGAAAGAAAGAAAGAAAGAAAGAAAGAAAGAAAGAAAGGCAGGCTTTCCAGCTCTGGCGGCCTTGAGTACGGAGGATGTGGGGACAGAGGAGACCTGGCCTTGGGACTCTTGGGCCCATAGGATTCTAAACCAGTGAGCCTAGGGTTAGTCAACATTTACTTTCTTTTATACCAAACTAGAGTTACTTACTATTTGACCTGTTTGATGAAAGACAACTGCTATTACTCAACATTGGATTTCCTTAACCCTTGACTTTTCATCCCTGTTAATAGCTGTTTGACTACCTAGCTAGAAAATAGCTAGAAAAGATGTGAAATCAGCCAGCCGATGGTGTGGGGGTGAAGTCAGTTAGAATGGCTGAATGCATGGTTTGAAGTCCTGGACTCAGTAGCTAGAAAAACATGCTAGACAAGCGTGTGTGTGCCCAAAATCCTAAGAGAATGGAAGAAAAGACTGTGGTGTGTCCAACCTCCTAGGGGGTGATTTCTCACTTTCCCTTTCTGTCACTTGCTCTCTGTCCCTCTCTGGAGAGCACATGAGCCCTATGACAAAACTAAAATAAATAACCTATTTTTAAAAAAGTGTGAAATACAAGTTACCTCCATTATTCAGTAGCTCTGAAAGCACAGTTCACAATGAACATTTGTTGAACATCTACTATGTGCTAGTCACTGAGCAAAGCCATCTTACTCTCCTCACCCCTCCCAGCCACCACCGGGAGATTTCTCATCTCAGATTTTCAGGTGAGACTAGGTGGGATGTCACTGTCCCTCTCAAGAGTCTTGAACTTCCCTACAAGCTATACATGGCCAGGAAAACACAACCACAAAGCAGCCCCTTTCATTGTTTCCTAGTTGAAACTGTTTGCTGAAGGCTACTGCTTTCATACCTGGCTGACCATCAGAAATAACTGTGGCATTTTATAAAACTGTAGAGACAGGCCTCCTCCCAAGGGATGTGTCTTAAGATGCTATCAGGTAATGCCAAAACAGTATGCCTTTCCTTTCTTCTTCTTAGATCCTTTCTTTCAGTTTGCATTTCAAACACCATCCCCACCCCTGTACTTCTGAACCAGTGGGTTCTAGAATCCTGGGACTGAAAGGACTTAAGTTTTTCAGAATCAAAATGAAGCCATTTATGAAAACACCGACTAAACCAAACTGGGAAGGCCATAGAAGAAGCCTGATCACCTTCTGGAGTGCTCACTAGTCACAAACCCTTCCTTGGAACCCCCTCCTATCCCTGCAATGTCAGCCCCTGCCAGAGGGGGGGCAGGTATGTGTCATTCTATATCCCCCTGGTCCCAATGATCAAGCTAGGGGTGGGTACTTGACCCCAGACAGGCAGCAATCAGATTCTTCTGGGAAATCTGGAGATGGGACTGAGAATCAGAATCTGTCACTAAGGGGAACTAAGCTGAAAAGCCAGGTAAAATTGAGGCCAGAGCGCACACCACGTTGTAAGGGAACACGAACCAGGCGGCTCCAGGAAAGTCAAGCTGTAGAGAGCAGGCCGGAGCAGTCAAGAGGCAGGCCAATGGCAAAGGCCCTGTGGTCCAAGAGAGGGTGCCAGTCCCCAGGCCTGTGCCTCCTGCTATTGAGCCACCCTGAGTGGATCTCTCTTATAACTAAAAGGGCCTTGAGCAGGATGGAGCTGAGGAAGGAGTAAGCAGTAAGCATTTCTGGTGCATGCAAGTGTGTGTGGAAGCAGGTGGGCCCGCAGCAGGGGTGGTGATGCTGTGAAGCATCTAAGAAAATGGTCTTTTCCCAGAATCATGTGCCAGTCTAGTGCCTGCCTCCTGATCACAGTGGGGTAAGGACGTGTAAAGCTCAGCATGCATGTTGTAGCTGAGCTTCTGCCACGGGAGGGCCCCTGGATGAGAATACTATAGTGAAGCCCTCGCCGGTCTTTGGCTTGGATGGGCTAACGGGTTGAGAATCACAGAATCTCTAAACTGGGAGGGACATTGGAGATGACCTTTGCCAACTTCTCATTTGGTACAAAGATACTCTTTTCTATTAACCCACCCTTCTTCAAACACTTCCACTGACCCAGGAAAAGTGTCTCCATTTCCAATCACTGGTGCTAGCATCTGCCTAGGAGCACCCGGCAAAAATGAGACAGGATGGAGAACGCGAGATCCCAGCTCTAATTTTCTGGCTGCGTTTCTAGTCCATGTGATGCCTTTGCTTTGACTGACACTTTTTATCCCATGAGGAAATCAATCGAGCCCAACTGAAAAATGTTGGTTTTTAGAAGTTGTTATTGAAAATATTCCCATTTTTTCTTTTCTGTCCTTTCCCAGTGGATTTACCTGTTATCCATTTGCTACATCATTAAGTACAGTTTGAGAAATCAACAGTTTCGTTTCAATTTATTAAGCTTCTAGACTAATGTCTGTGGGGCTTTTGGGTGAATCTTTGTGGAGGTGGTTAACAGAGTGTGGTCTCAAAGTCGACTGGCTGATGTCACTAAGGCTTCATTGCCAATGGTGTATGAAGGCGATTAAGAGTTTTATTTTCGAAGAGGATGGGAAGCTTGGTGAGTAATGAGGACTCACTGCCTCCAAAAGCTCACTGGAACAGGAAAGCCTTTTGCAGCTGTCCACACTGCTGCTTCCAATGTGTGGGGCACTGGGACGGAAGCAGTCCCTCGCCTGAACTCACAGCAGGCTGGCCCCTGCCAAGAGACCACACCATAGGAAGAAAAGCACGCGCCCACTCTCCTCTCAGATCCACGGCTCCAGCAGGAGAAGACTCCTCACTCAAAGTCATGAGGAACAAGAAAGGTGGTTGTGGGCTAGCTATTTAGCAAAAGCTTCAGCTCAGGCTGGTGAGCTCTAGCCTTAGCTTTTCCAGTTCCACTGTGACATGATCAAGATCATATTTTGATTTTTCTCTGCTTTTAAATCAGGGTATTTTGGCCAGTCCATGGCCTGGCAGTTAAGGCAGCTGGATCCCGCATGGCTGACGGTTTGAGAAACATGCTGGGTGCAAGTGCATTCATGCCCAAAATACTGAAAGAGCGAGAGAGAGGGAGAAGGGATTGCAGTGGAGTGCTTTCTCACTTTTTCCCTCTATCTCATTCTTTCATGCACATGCCCTCTGGTAAATTAAAACAAAACAAAACACACAAACAAAACGGGTACTTATCTCTCCCACCACAGAAACTATTTGCTCAAAATTGCTTCCTCAAACATATTTGGTCAGTCATCAACACAGTGGTGGGTTTCTTCTTTCACAGCAACACATATTTTCCAATTTTACTTTGGGAATTATAAATACCTGATTTTATCCTTACAGTTTTGGCTTTTCCAGAACGTCACAGTAATAGGAGCATAAGGCATGTAGCCTTGAGCCTGTCTTCCTTCACTGGGTAGAAGGCACTGGAGATTTATCTACACTGTTGTATCACCAGGTCCTTCATGTTCATCGCCAAGTAGTATTCCACTGCATAGCCATACTGGTCTGTTTTATAGAATTACACGTTGGTGGACATTTGTTTGGTTTCCAAAGCTGGTATAAACATTTGTGTACAGGCTTTTGTGTGTGCACGTCTCTTCATTTCTCCTACATAAACTCCCAGGAGTAGGATTGCTGGGTTGTATGGTGGTATGTTTAACTTTATAAGAAATGGCCAAGGGCCAGCCCTGTAGCACAGTTATTTGGAGCTGTGCACTGCGAGCTGGATCCCATATGGCCGACTGCAGTTTAAATCTAGACATTTGGGCATGCCTGTCCAAAATACTGACAGGAAACAGAAATGGAGGAAAGGGATTGCCATACGACTACGCCCTCACTCCAGGGTGCCTTCTGTCTTCTTCCTCTGATGAGCATACCCACTCTGCCAATTAAGGAAAAAAAAAAAAAGGGGGACAAAGAAATGGCCAAATTGTTTTCTAAAGAACATATATTGCAGCCGGGTGGGTTCCGCCCCTTGTGTCAGGGGAGGCAGGCTCCCACCGGCCTGTGGAGCTGCAGCCACCCCTCGCACCCTCCTTGCCAACATCATGTTCCAGTTCCTGCTTGGATTTACTTTGGGCAACATGGTGGGAATGTATCTGGCTCACAACTATGACATACCAAACCTGGCTAAAAAGCTTGAAGAAATTAAGGACTTGGATGTCAAGAAGAATCCTCCTACTTCATGAGGCCTACTCCAACACTGCCTTCTGGATACACTGAATCTACTATTGAGGGCCTTCTTTACCATTCAAACCAAAAGCTTTTGTTTTCACCTCCAGTCTCAATGATTTCCTTCTTTGCTAGACGCTGTATTGCCTCAAAGCAAAAATGGGGCCACAGTTAAGAACTATCCTTATATTTCCAACATCTTCACCTCTTTCTATATTCTCCTTCAAGCTGCTTGGGAGGTTCTGAGATTTTCTGGAATTACGGTGCTAGATTAGTAAATAAGACATTTAATCTGAAAAGAAAAAAGAACATTTATTGCAGCCAGCAGGTGGCGTGGAGGTTAAGGTGCTGGACTCACATGACTGACCATGGTTTGAGTCCGGGATCTAGCGACTTGCTTTCTCTCTTTCTCTTTCTCTCTCTGGTGAGTGCACATACCCAAGAGCAAATTAAAAAAACAGTAATGGGGCCAGCAGTTGGCATGGTGGTTAGGGTGCTGGACTCCCACATGCCTGATGGTGGTTCAAGTCCTGGACGTGGTGGCTTGAAAATCTTGCTGGGTGCATGTGTGTGTGGATGCCCAAAATCCCAGGAAAGGAGGGACTGTGACATGGCCATCCCTCTTAGGGTGATTTTTCATTTTACTTCTCACTGTCTCTCCAGTGAGTACACATGCCCTATGGCAAAAACCTAAAAATAGATAAATAAATAAAATGAAATGATTAAGAAAACAAGAACCTTTATCACTTTGCATTCTTCTGAGCAACATGAGATTTATGGTTGTTGGGCATGTTCATCAGCACTTGATACTGGTGTTTAGAGTTTTAGCCATTTTGACAAGTATGCAGTAATGTTATCTTGTTGTTTTTAATTTGCATTTCTCTAATGACCAATGATGTTGAGTAGCTTTTCAACTGCTTACTGAATGACCATCTATATCTTTCTGATGAAATACATGTTTACAGTTATTTCCTATTTTTTAAACTGTGCTATTTATTTTGTTATTAGTGAGTTTGAGATCTCTATACAGTCTGTATACAGATCCTTCATATATGTTCTATATTATGAAGCCTCCCTCTCAGCATCATTGATGGGATTATTTCTGAAGTGCTAATCAGTAATCAGTAGTTTCATGCCACAGTGCTCTTTGGAGTTTCCACCTGGCAACTTTTGTTTTTTGAACACAGGCTAAGTGAATGATCATTAAAGTCCAAGCTGTGTCCTAGGAGTGAGGTGGAGTGACTAGTAGTCTAAGAAGGGAATCAGGAACCAGCCGATGGCATAATGGTTATGTTGTTGGACTCCCATGTAGTTCAAGACCTGCACCTAGTGGCTTAAAACTCACACCAGGCATGTGTGCATACATGGCCAAAATCCTGAGAGGAGAATGGAGGAAAAGGGATTGTAGCATGGCTATACCTTCTGGGGAGGCGGGGGGTGATTTCTTGCTTTCTGTCTCTCTGGTGAGCACATGTGCCCTATAGCAAATATCTCTCAAAAAAGAAGAAAAGAAAAGAAAAGAGGGGAACTGGGCACGAGGCTAGCTAAAGAAGGGGCTTGGATGAGAACTCATTCGGTAGCCAGCTACCATTCAATCATTTGTGCCTTCTCCAAAGCACATCTTTCATATTTCCAGTACATTAACAAAGGCCCCTTAACTGTGTATCGAATAACTTTGACCTGGCTCTGTTTACCCCTTCCCCATTCTGGGTCCACTGTCTACCCGAACCCCAGTGTTCACTCCTGTGGGGTGAGCGCAATAGGCTACACTGTGCTTGGGAAGTCCGGCTGCTCCAAATTTTCCACTTGGTGATGGGTCACCTCTGAGGAAAAGGATTAGGAGCTCTCTCTACTTTTGTCTCTGCTCTTAGCTGGTTCTCCAGTACAGCTCGAAGTGCTGGGCCTCCATTAATAAAGCATATTACCAGGGGTTAGACAGTGGTGCAGTTAAAAAAAAACCACAACACTCTGTGAGGGTGACCCACATGGGAAGGTTCTGGGTTTGCGTCTGAGACCTCGAGTATGCCAGGCGTGTGGCCATAATCCAGGGCTGACTGAGGCTGGGGGCGGATCGGTGCCCTGTTGGGAGATGCAATCTCTGTCTTTGCTTACCTAAGAAAGAAACTTTATTTAAAAAGAAAAAAAAATGTGTATGTGTGTGTATATATATATGTGTATATATATATATGTGTGTGTGTGTGTGTGTATAAATTCAAATCCAAGGTGAGATTACGCAGTTGCACATTCAGTCTTCTGTCACTGAGATTGCTGTATCGCAGACATCCACTGTGTGCTCATAATGATCGTTTGAAGCACTGTATACATTTTTTTATGTCTTGGAAATTATCAACGATGGGCCAGCAGGCGGTGTAGTAGTTAAAGCATTGGACTCCCACATGTCTGACCATGGTTCAAGTGCTGGATCTGGCAGCTTGAAAATCATGCCAGGCACACGTATGTGCATGCCCAAAATCCTGAGGGGAGAATGGAGAAGAAGGGATTGAGGCATGGCCATTCCCGCTGGAGATTGATTTCTCACTTTCCCTCTCACTCTTTCTCTGGTGAGTGCACGTGCCCTATGGCAAAAAAAAAAAGAAAAAGAAAAAGAAATTTTTAGTGGCTAAATTATATTCAATGAAGTTTTAAAATTAAGTATATGTTACTGCACTGAAATGCATTAAAGAGGGGAAATCCAGGTAGAGCATACACGACAGTGATGGATTACCAGAGTGTTCTGACCCACAACAACACGTTGTTCACAGCTCTGGGCCCACACAGTCTTGCTCTTCTCCATTTCCCACTGTGAACTCTTTTCACGCCTAGAGTTTTTGTAGCTGCAATGGCTGGGATAGATTTCATTCTCCATAAAAACTTGGAAATGAATAAATGGCAACCACGGTTCACAAACATACCAGATTATAGTTTTCAGTCCAGCACATATTCTTTTTCTTTTTTTCTTCTTCTTCTTTTTTTTTTTTTTTAAGTTTATTTATTTACTGAGAGAGAGAGGAGCATCCCTGATAGGGTCCTCAAGCCACAATTCAATGCCAGTCTCCACCAACTTGGATTATAGGATGCATGCATGCCTGGCGCTCAGGGAGGCCCTGGGACATGAACACAGGACCTTTCCCACATGAATTCAGTTCTGTCACTGCTACACCACTGCCTGGCCTCAGCAAAATATGCTTCTAGTGAATTTACACTCCTCCTTCTTAAGGCAAAATATGCTTCTAGTGAATTTACACTCCTTCTTAATATAATTTAAATACAAATTTCATCCTTCAGAGGGCCTGGTCACACCATGATCCCCCTCCTTCAGTCTGCCAGGGTCCTGGGCATGTACGTGCACAAATGTCCAGTATGTTTTCAGTCTGTATGAAGGCTGACTAGCGGGGATTTGAACCATGGCCGGCACGTGGCTTCTGGCTCTGCAGTTCAGTATGCTACCAACTGTGCCACTAAGGCTGGGCCTGAAAAGTCCTTTTTAAATTTAGTTTCTAACACAATCAGATAAAAACCAGTGATTTTATTATAAGATTAAAGGTTTATACTGTTAATCTGTCAGAGATTTTGTCATACTATATTATTATTATTATGGACAGTAGGACCTGCTCAGAGGAAAGGTGGTGGGAAGAAAAGAGAAGTTAAAAAGTGACATCTGATCCCTCTTCTTACATATTAAAAGCACAATCTGGGGCTAGTAGGGGGCATGGTGGTTAAGGTGCTGGACTTCCACATGGCTGACCAAGGTCTGAGTCCCAGATCTGGTGGATTGCTTTCTCTCTCTGGTCAAATTAAAATAAGTAACTTTTTTTTAGATAATTTCTTTTTTATTTTTTAAATTATTTTATTTAACTTTATTTATTCATTTATTTATTTCAATTTGATCAGAGGAACAGAATGAGAGAGAGAGAGAGAGAGGGAGAGAGAGAGCAAGTAAGCCGGCAGGTCCGGGACTCGAACTGCAGTCGGCCATGTGGAAGTCCAGCACCCTTAACCACCAAGCCACCTGGCAGCCCCTAAAATAAGTAATTTTTAAAAATAAAATTAAGTAAATAATTATTTGAAAAAACAAACGAAAAAACACACAATCAGGCTCAGGTACCTGCTCTGGACTCATGTCAGAAAGACAATTAAAAAAGGCCAGGGGTGGGGCCAGCAGATGGCATAGTGGTTATGTTGCTGGACTCCCACAAGGCTATGGTTTGAGTCCTGGGCCAGGTGAATTGAAAATGACACTGGGCACACATGCATGTGTGCCTGAGATTCTGGGAGGAAAATGGAGAAAGGATTGTGGTGTGGCCATACCCTGGGGGGGGTGGTATCTTACTTTCCCTCTCACTGTCTCTGTCTCTCCCTTTCTCCAGTGAGTGTGCACACCTGAAGGCAAAAACCTCTAAGAAAAAAAAAAAGAAAGGCAAGCCAGGGGCCAGATTTGACACAGTGGTAAAATGCCATGTTCTGCAAGGCTGAACCACATGGGAAGGTTCTGAGTTCATGACCAGAGACCTCCTTGAGTACAAAGCACATGTGCAATGTCCAGATCCAGGAGCTGGTTGGGGCTGGAGGGCATCAAGACTCTGTTGGGGCGATACCTTCTCTCTCACTCACAGGAAAAATAAGTAACTTCAAAAAAAAAAAAAAAAAACACACG